AAGAGCATGCCCCACAAGCCCATGAGCGCGGAGTCTGACTCCACCATTCAAGATGGCTCGTCAAATCTACCGAAAATCGGCGCCTACAAGTCATCTCATTAGTACACAATGAACGCTTGTTTTTCGGCCAGTTTAAAACCAACTTCCATACTACAACCATGTCTAGTTCATCTTCAGATGAAGACTTTTTATTGACGGAAAATACATTTCTAAGGATTCAGCGCACCAAGCAAGATATACATATATCCAGTAAATCGTGAACTAAAACTTTATGGTGAATATCACCATTTATTCCAATCGTTGAAACAACACAAACAACGCTTTTTTTCAGTGTATGAGAATGACCATTGGGATATCACCTACATGTGTTGTGGAATATAAGTCGTTTATACCATAATGCATTTATTTGAAAAATCGCAGAAATCAGTAACTCGACATCCATTATCGATGCACGCCCAGCTCTGACCAGCGACACTGGCAACAAGCACCGACCTGCTATGTCTGTGTCTAAGTGTATTTAAACGTAGATTCAATTATTGGCGCTTACAATCGCTTGTTACCAGCAAGCAGGCAACCTGCGTTCTTTGTGTGCGTGCCAGACAGAACAGTCTGACTCGGACTCAGACAACGCCATTACACCTGCTTCCAAGTCGAACGACGAGGCCGCCATCACTGAAGGCGTCCGACCACTTAGGGTACGCATCAAAACATTCTGCCGCCCAATCTAGCTATATCCCGGAAATCTGACCAATCAAATTCGATGTGGCTATTTTGAGCGGCATAATGTTACTACATGGGCTAGATCAGAGGTCAGAATGTCTGGACGGCCTGTTGCACTTGTCCGAGAAGTGCTCCATGTTTTGTTTATTTCCCGCTCTTACTCTATTGAAATTTATGCGAAGACATTTTAATATTTATTCATGATGGAGATGAATGCGATAAACACATAATTTGCCATTCTTCAAAGATATTGTATTTGCTGACAGTACATCATCCTGCGATGCACTGCACTAAATCATTGTTTAACGTTTTTATTGATTACGTGATATCTTCATATTTTAGTAACAAGTCGAGTACCTAACTATAAATAGCTTATTCAGAGAACTAAAAAGGGGAAGGAAATTGTTCAAAAACATGTAGTCTTTGAGAAATTTAGAACTCAAATTTCTAATTATTAGGTATTCAGATTTTGCAAAATTTAAATTTAGTAACCCCTTATATCCAAAAGGGGTATATATTTCTTAATTCCTCCGTTTCAATCAAAAAACTAACAATTTAATCAATATATTTATAAAAAAAATCCATAGGAAACACAAAGAACATCTTAATTTCTGAATTGTATAACACGTACAAAAGACAGTCATAGATTTTTTAACATCAAACATTGTTTGTTAAATTTAATACAAATGCTCTATTGCCTGTAACATTCTGACCCTGAATCTTGCCCATGCAATAACATTCTGACCCTTTAAATAGCTCCATCATCGTCCCGACATTCTGACCCCTGATACAGCGCATGTAGTAGCATTATGCCACCCAAAATAGCCACATCGAATTTGATTGGCTATGGCTAGATTGGGTGGCAGAATGTTTTGATGCTTAGGGTACGCACACAAAGAAAGCAGGTTAATCAGCGCCTATTTCCGGCGCCGAAAATCAGCGCCTACAAGTCTTCTCATTTGTACACAAAGAACGCCGGTTTTCGGCCAGTTTATACGCAACTTCTATACTACAAAGATCATCTTCAGATAAAGACTTTTTATTGAAAGAAGATACATTCCTGAGGATGATGCAATGCACGAAGCAAGGTATACATCCAGTGAATCGTAAATGAAAACTTTATGGTGAATATCACCATTCATTCTTTCTGCACTATATTGCTGTTGCTGTGGGACTTAAGTTGATTGTCCCACAATGCATTTCTTTGAAAAATCGCAGAAATCAGTAATTCGACAACCAATATCGATGCACGTTCAGCTCCGACCAGCGACCAAGAGCTACAAATTCATTCCGGTAAAAAGGCGGCGCCGATCTGCATTTGCAACAAGCACCAATCTGCTTTGTCTGTGTGCGGGATTCAATTATTGGTGCTTATAAGCGCTTGTTACCAGCAAGCAGGTAACCTGCTTTCTTTGTATGCGTATCCAGACAAGCACTACAAGACGCTGAAAAATTCAAAGCCAAGTCAGCTTGCAACAAAATACGCGTACAGGAAGGAGTTGCTGAGAGGACATACATCCCAGGGCGCACCTAGGACGAAACAACATCACCAAATCTGTTTCCTCTATGCAAGTCGTTTCCGTTGATAAGCACTACAACCAGCGTCATTACCAGCAAAGATACTTCTCGTAGTGTCTAAGGGAGAGCTGGAACCAACCTATCGATGATAATTGTTATGGATAAGATCTAGGAGCTCAGGTTTCCACCCTCGTCCCCGTTAGTAGATAGTTCTCAAAGACAAACGCGAAAAAAGCCGATGAAGTACATTCTCGTCCTTCTACCAAGGACAAAGAAAGACTTTTAAGACAGAATCCTCACCATCAAAGGAATCACAATCATACTTGAACCAAGCACACAGACAGAAGGCTGCCAGAAGACCGAAAGATAACACCCAAAGTGCGCAATCTCCGGGCAGATCTAGCGAAATCTTTTTATCGAGTGGTTCAACCACAGCTTCCAGTACTGCTCTTATTGGATGGTCATTACGGTAATACCAAAAATTCGGACAATAGTACTGGTAAGGGAAAATCATAGGTGCATAGTATTCCTTCCTCCGCTCTCGAATGATAAATTTCAGCAGCTTGGGGTGACTTACAGCGCAGAAATCAGGACTTAGTTCAGACTTAGCGACAGAGCCGTAATACACAGTTTAATCTGGCTAGACTACTTGGCAATGAGATTTTGACTGACCAGACTACAAAACTAACTGTTAAGGGATAAAGGGTAAAGGAATTCTATTTTTAGAATAAACATTTTCTCACGGATGTCTATTTCATTAGCCAGAAAACTTAAGACAGAAAAACTGTAGTCCAGACTCAGCTGCGAGAACCACAACCTCACTCTATCATGAGTAATGTAACGTTAGGGACCCAAATGGTCAAAGGTCGTCTCCCACTAAGTTGGGAACTATTTTCCTTTAAAGTTTGTGAGGCTTTCGCGGCCCATGTTTATTGATAAAGTGTTTTCATTTGGGCTTAATGGCCGTCGTAAGTTGGAACCGACACGGTTGAGAAAGGTATCATAAGAACGGAAGCGGTTCCACCATGACTCTACGGCCTACCCAAAATTCACAAACCTGAAGTCCCGCTAAGACCCATAGTGAGTGTACCTGGAGCACCAACGTACAACCTAACCTAACCGAAAAATCTTGCATCGCTTATTCAACCGCATGTAGGAAAAACTAACTCTCACGTCAAGGACTCCACTCAGTTCGTTTAGAAAATTGGGGATATTATTCTCCAACCTAAGGATATCCTGGTCAGCTTTGATGTCGTGTCTCTATTCACAAAAGTGTCATTGACGGAATCTCTTGACTTGATATCAAGTACCTTCCCCAATGACATAATTGAGCTTTTCCGGACATGTCTCACTGGTAGTTACTTCCTGTGGAACGGCGATTTCTACGAGCAAACGGACGGTGTAGCTATGGAAAGACCGCTCAACCCAGTCATAGCCAACTTCTTTATGGAGGATTTCGAGAGGAAAGCTATCGAATCTTTTCACCACAAACCAACGGTATGACTTCGATATGTAGATGATACCTTTGTGGTTTGGAGTCACGGGGAAGAGAAGCTTAAGCAGTTCCTAGGCCACCTCAACGCGCAACATCCTAGCATACAATTTACCATGGAAAAGGAGAATATCCAAGAAATCACCGTCTTAGATGTACTCATAAAGAAATCCGGAGGAAAACTAAGCCACACAGTGTACCGAAAACCCACACACTCAGACAGGTACCTGCATGCACTCTCAAACCACCATCCAAAGCAAAAACGTGGAATTATAGCAACATTAACAGAACGTGCTCGGAACTCTTGCGAGCCTCATCTCGAGCAAGAACTTGATCATTACAAGTCGGCCTTTCTATCGAATGGATACAATGCATCTGAAATCGACAGAGCCATGCGAACCAAAACGGACACACGACAAAACGTGGATGAACAACCAGTGGTGGCTAATGCATATCTGTCTTTCATTTCTTGGATGACAGAAAGGATAGGGAAAGTCTTGAAGAAGCACAACATAAAAACGATTTTCAAGCCAACAAGGAAAATAAAGCAATCAATCAGATCAGCCAAGGATAAGAGGAACCCACTGTCAAGCGCTGGAGTCTAATGTATACCATGCACATGTGGCAAGGTACCTATACATAGGAACAACAAAAAGATCCATGGGAACCAGGATCAACGAGCACAAAAGAAACTGCAGACAAGAACAATGGGAAAAATTGGCAGTAGCGGAACATGCGCTTAGTGAAGAGAATCACGAAATACTATTTGGTGGGGTCAAGCTTCTTGCACCGACTTCCGGATACCACAATCGTCTTGTACGTGAAGCTATAGAAATCCACAAACATACGGAGAACTTCAACAGGAAAGAAGAAACACTGAAACTCAACCAAATTTAGAGCCCGATCCTCAAAAACGCAAGAAAGATCCCATTGAGTAGAGAGAAATTTCAGATTAGCCACGTGCTGCGAAGCTCTGCCCCTCCCTCTCCACAACCACTCACACATAAATACAACTTGCGGTCGGGAACGCGTCAGTCTGCTACCAGAATCGGACATGGAAGCACCTCTGAAGATGCTAGCCACGCGTGCTAGCGAAACGCCAGGAAGAAATTCCAACTTACGACGGCCATTAAGCCCAAATGAAAACACTTTATTAATATTTTGCTTTAATTGGAAAACTGAACTCAAATTTGTAGTCATGAATAAATATTATTGTTGTTAGATACATTCACACGTTCAATTTATTTTTCTAATTACTCAAAAATCTTACCTAACTGGACAATCCAAAACATTACAATATTGCCTATCAGGCGGTGGAGGCTGAGGACATCGATTATTGGGAACCACCACGGTATTGCTGCCTCCTTGCGTCAATTCATGAATACAATTCACATCTCTTGTCTGAATTCCAATACCGCAACTTTGAGAACATGGAGAAAATTCTGTGTAGGACCAACGAGGAGGGCATGAATGTTCATTACAGGCTCTACGAACAAAAATAAAATCAAATATTGAAGCATGGATAAATCCTTAAAGATCTCACCGTATAATAGCCTCAGGCTTGAGTTCAATGGGGCACATGAATGGAGAAGTAACTTTCTGGGTATCATCTCGCACACAATTTACAATAAGTTCTTGAACTCCGCCTAGACAACTGGCGCTGCAGTGTGTAAAACCTTGTTCTTTCCATGAATAGGATTTTGCTGGGCTTCCAGAACCGACCTGGAATTAAAATAATAAAAATAACTTAAATTTTTCGACCAATTAATATGGTTACACACCTTGATACTTGAAGGATCATCCTTAATATCCACTCCAATTTTTTCAGCACTACACGGTTCCCTGTAACATTTTTCAATTACCACAGGTTTAGTGCCAGAACATTGCTTATCAGGTAATTTGGCAATAGTTCTCGAAAATTCCAGAAATATTTTACAGTGGACTTCTCTTCTGCGCAATCCTTCGCCGCAACTGACACTGCAAGGACCCCATTCGTCTGGAATGAAGCTGGAAGGGTTTTAGAAATACTAAATAAGAGTTTTGCTTACAGGAATATGTTTTATTAAAAAATAAATTTATTTTAGTCTTCATTAAAGCTTTTGCATGCTTCAACATGCCAAAGTGTTCAAACCAATTTTTTACATAACAAAAACTCGAGGGATTTTAAATAAATTGGTAATAGAGTGGCAACGATGGAATTAAGGTTTTTTTTTTTTTTTTCAATTGCAACTTTATTCAAAATAAAATTTTGCAGCAGTTTAAATGTAGCTCATAAACATGCTTTTTCGCTGCTTATGATATTTTAAAATGTATGTTAAGCCAAAGTTTGAAAGTGAAGTAGACCACATTTCGAAAATCCGTTTATTTTTAAACTTATCTGTTGAGAAGAATAGTTTTACAAAACTTAAGAAGTAAATCATCATTAACAAAGAAACAATCAAAAGAGCGCAAAAAGGACATAAACACAAAATAGGTACACAGAACATAATGGGGTGCAAAAAATGTGCTTTAAAAAACAGCTGAGTGCTTCGTGAATACAAATTTCTCTGAAATCCTAATTTATAAAGCTCAAACAGTCGTATAAGTAGACTTTGGTATAAGTACATACTTATCTTTGTGAAAATTTCTGCTGTTTAAAGTTTTTGTTTCAATTTTAAGCTTAACTGCGAATTCGGTAAAATTAAAGCCGACAAAAAAGAGTTTATATCACACAAACTATGTTGCTATTACCTAATTGAACTACGAAATTCTAAAGTTTGCGGTTACTCTAGAGGCTTTCTGAAATCATTCGTTTAATTTGAAAATGATTCGTGGCGTGCCAAAGATTCGTGAATTAACCAAATCCATTTAATTTCAATTTAAACCGAATAGAGGAGGAAATTAAAATGACAAATCTCTGTAGATTTAAAATTCGAACTCTAAAAATCCAAATTCTATTTTTTCAGCTTAAAGTCAATGGTCAACAGAACCCTATTTTGGGACGTTTAGTCAGATTGTCGGCTAAGCAGAAACTTTCCTCGGTTTTAATACGGATCATCAGTGGTGGCGAAAGATAATGTTTTTCTTTTTATGTTACAATTCTCAAATGTAGGTACTTAACTTACACAATAATTTCTTTGGAGTTTGTGATATTTTTAACAATTAAAATCAATATTATTAGCACATTTAAAAATATATTCATTGCAAAATATCTCACTTCATTGTGATCAAAGTGTAACGGGAACAAAATTTAGATAAAACTCAAAGTCAAGCTTATACTCATGCATTATCAAGTAAGTAGTGCGTTTCTGAAAAAGAACCAACTTTTGCAATAGCTAAATATAAAATAATCGTCACCACTGACCCCTGATGTCTGTCTAAAAAAAAACACTCAAAAAAAGTGCATAAGGGTGGTAGGGTGAAAAATTAGAAAAAATATAGAGGAAAATTAAGAAAGTGTTAAAAGTGTATTTTATTTTAATGTACCTCACGTACACCCAACCGCAGGCAAAGTACACTTTGTAAGCGCTGAAAAGGACAACGAACACCAGATGGAACACTGTTTATTTCGTGTTTAGATACTAAGTGGTTAAAGTTGAATGAATATGATGAAAGACGAGGCTTTAGAGTTTTTTTTTTTTGCCTACTGGGTGTAAGCAGCTTTTCAATGGAATCAGGAATATAACTAAAAATATGGAATGGCTTAAAAAACTGTCTATGTAGATACATATATTTAATAAGGATGAGTTGATCGAATCTGATACCTACCTACTTGATCGTTGAGGAAGTTTCCAGAATTTTTGAGTTTTTGTTTTCAAAGTTTCAAAAAATGATCCTCCCTTATGAGATGGTTAGCTCTTTGGTGTGATTAAAATCATTGGTATGTGAAATAATTTTTTTTTGTGTTCTGGTATTCCAGTCCTGGAAGATGTTTCGGTTTGTCCTATATACAGTGTGTCCCAACATGCACATGTGTCCCAACATGCACAAAGAGTTGCTTTGAAAGTGTTTTCGCAGATTTGAGAAATTATCAAAAATAAAAGATTTATAGCCTACTTTCAAAAAACCAACTTTTCAGTTTTTTCAAAATATCTCAAAAATGCGAATAGCTAGACTCAATCTGCAAACGCTATTGAACGTCTAACATAATTGTCTAAAACTTTTACCATTTAACCTCCCTCGTATCTGTTATAGTTTCCTATATCCTAATACATTCACCACCAATTTGGGACACACTGTATCAATAAGCAGGACTCGCAACTTAATGTCCATTTTTATTGTAACCTGTATTTTAAAATAAATTAGTGTTTTTTTAAAAAGTGATTTCAAGAGTTTTTGAGATAAAATTTATAACTACCTATGTTTTTTGAGAAAAACTGAAAACCCGAATAACATAGAGTTAATGAATCAGGAGTAGGTATATCAATAAATTTGCGATTCCTATGCTCAAAATTATATGAGGTAAATAGAAATTTTTCAATCATTTCGGCTGGAAATCTCACAATGATTCACATTATGGATTTTGGGCGGTCCCAGATGATCAAGTCAAAATTCAATATGGAAAGAGTTTCAAAATTTTTGGAGAAGGATGAAAAATCATATCTACAATTATGGTATTATAGATAGGAATCTGAAATTTGCAGAGAATCTCATTCTAGTGAACGAGTACCTATCAAATCTGAAAACTTAAGCTCATTTAAATCGAGTAATAGTTCCAGAGATAAAAATCCTACTAAGGACGAGGAGGAAAGTTTTCAGTTTTTTTTTTCAGCTACATAGTACAGGGACCATAGAGGATGATGTTCAACAAATTAGAGACAAGCTGAAATTTGGTAAGAGACTCTCAGGCCCTGCGATCTCTCATTGCCAGTTCTAAACCACATAATAACTCTTTTCCGATTTTCTAGATGTCGCTGACAACCACAGAATTTTCAAAATTGTAAAATACCAGCACATCAAGAACACGTCCGATGCCGATAACTGACATGTCAACATATATGCCAAAATATTCATCATAACTAATAATTCATAATGTTTTTTGTTCGCCGGTCTTGCATTTCATCTTTCTTTGTGTTGTCAAGTGTTCTTAAGTGATTTCAAAGTTGTTTTGTGTGTTTCAAGAAGAACTTCAAACTTTATAGATTGGAAGATCTATTTTTATCTTTGTTGATTAGGTAAATGACAGGTTCAATTAAACATCAATCAGAACTTTGAATAAATATGTTAAGGATACCCTTAACCATTGATAAAGAAACTGTCTTTTGATCTAATTAATAAATTATCAATCAATTTAAGCAAACATTAATGCACCAAAGTCTAGAATAAACGAATTTGAACAGACCGAGAGTAATATAGCTACTACTGCTATGTGTTTGCTTGATATATCACCAGCGAATGAAAACACTGTTTTACTAATAACTCGGTTTAATTCTGGGCACTGAACATACAAATAAATCGAAATACTTTATTTTGTTAACAACAACAACACGATATCATAATTGCGCGGCAACAAGCTGACTAGAAGTAAACAACAACCTGGGACAGCTGTCTTCTGTCACGTCACGTCAGGCCGCCAGGGTTGTACACAATAGTTGAGCCATCCAGGGTTGAACACAACGGACTCGCGGAACAATGACGCCACATCTACTCCCCTCCCAGTGACGAAGCCACTTGTGGGAGGAACGAAACCTTCTTTTTTGAGTAAGTGCGAAGAGGGCGGTCCATGGTGAAGGATGACGCTGGGTGATTCTCCAGGGTGGATGAAACGGTATCGGGTTTAAGGGTGTAGGCTGGCTTCAGGGCGTCCACAGAGACAGTCTTCTCAACGCCATTGATTCGAATGCTGTACACTCGGTCATTTATTCTCTTGACGACTTCATGCGGGCCAGTGTAGGGCGGTTCGAGCGGGCGACGAACAGAGTCCACTCGGCGGAAGACACGACTGCAAGTTGCGAAGTCCTTGAGGATGAAGCAGCGAGATTTGATATGGTGAGCCGTAGGTGTTGGGCTGACTTTCCTGATTTGGTCCCGGTATTTTTCGAGGAAGACTTGGGGATCAGCTGGGGGTGACTCAGAGGTGAAGAATTCACCAGGTATACGCAGGGGTGTCCCATAAAGGAGCTCCGCTGGTGAGGCATTCAGGTCTTCTTTCAGGCACGTACGCAGACCCAGAAGAACGGTCGGAAGCACTTCCGTCCAGGGCGTGGGTGCTTGACACATAAGGGCTGCCTTCAAAGTCCTATGGAAGCGCTCTACGATGCCATTGGACTGCGGGTGATAGGGCGTGGTGTGGATTACCCGCGCTCCTACAAGGCGTGCAAGAGCCGAAAATAGTGAAGATTCAAATTGCGTGCCCTGGTCAGTTGTGATGGATAGTGGCGTTCCGTAGTTGCAAATCCAATTGACATAGAGAGCAGACGAGACGGTGTCAGCTTCCATGTTCTGGAGGGGTACTGCAACAGGCCATCTAGAAAATCGATCAATTATGGTTAAGCAGTAACGAAATTTGTTGACTGGTGGTAAAATGATGAGGTCTAGGTGAATATGCTCGAATCTGTTGTCAGGTACGGTGATGTGCTGTGGTGCGAGACAATTGTGTCGTTGAATTTTGGATTTTTGACACTGAATGCATTGGCGGGACCACTGGAGGGCGTCCTTCTTGATTCCAGGCCAAACAAATTTTTCTTTGAGGCTTCGAGCAGTGACTCGGCCGCTGGGGTGTGCCAAACCATGCACAACATCAAAAGCTTTGCGTCGGAGACTTGTCGGAATGTAGGGTCTGATGCGATCTGAAGAGATATCACAGAGGACGTTGGCGTTTTCAATAACAAGCTGTTGCAGATTGAGCGATGATTCTTGTGGCGTATCTTGGTCTTCAAGCTGTGCGGCTTCGATGGCTTTAGGAGACAGTGACGTTGGCATGGAGATAGCGTTAATACGAGACAGGGCGTCAGCAACGGCGTTGTGTTCTCCGTTGACATAGACGATTTCTGTGCTGAATTGTGAAATAAAGTCCAGTTGATGGAGCT